CAAAGCGACTGCTTTCTCTTTGTGAACTATGTTGTGTGTTCCCCCCTTTGCCAGAGCTTGTCATCCGAGGGGCAAGGCAGCCCCCCCCCCCCAACACACAGTCACATACTTACGGCAGTTTATTATTATTTTTTTTTTCTTATGAACTATTGTTGCCTGAGGTCATCCACCGCCTCCCCATCCCCTCGCCCCCACTTCTTGTCACCGGTATCAAAAACTTTCTGCGAGGAGAGCGTGTGTGATGGATGAGGCGGGATGAGGTAGCGGTAGGCCTCGCAGCCCGCCGGAGAGCTGCTCAAATGACTAACACCCTTGGGGAACAATGGTCGGCCACGGGCGAGTGTAAAGAGAGAGTGCACAACGAACACAAGTTCACCCACACACAAGCACGCTTCACTCAGCGCGGGAAGGCGGCGAGGAAAGAAGAGGCTTTGCGGCGCGGCAAAAGGGGAGCTTCTGCACGCCGTGCAAGGGAGGGCGGGAATCGCTGGAGGAGGGGCGGTCGGAGGGGGGCCGGGGGTCGGTCATGTACCCGCGGGAAGGATCTCCGGCTGGGTCGGAGGACGCTGGAGTCTTGGGCTCGGGACTCATCCAGAGGGTGGGCGCCTGGCATCTCAATCTGGGCAGTTGGGTGAGTAGGCCGCGTCTTTTTTTTTGGGGTGCGGGGGGGCACCCCTTTTTTTTTTATTTCTGAGCTGTTGTTGTTAAGGCAAGGCCACCTGCTTTTGGTTGATGTAAACACGCTGAGCGTCATCCGCTTTAAAAAGCCATCAATATCCGTTTTACAAGTGGATTTTATTCATCCCCCGTCAAAAGCGGTTTTATTTCACCGAGGAAACTGTGTTTAATCAATCTCATGTCTTATCCATGGCATGGGGGTAAAAAAAAATAAAAAATCAACGCGCTCGACAGCCTAACATATTCTTTTGTCGGCGTCCAATTCAAAATCTTGATTGCCAGCCTTTCAAGTGAAATTCTGCGCGGCTGATTGCATTTCAAAAAGCAGAATTGGCTGGCGCTCTTGACACAATATCGCCCGTTTAACTCAGGTACGAGAGCTCAAGAGGCTGTTTATGTTGAAAAGTGTAGCGAGAAGAGGAAGCTCGGTGGTGGAGTACGTGAGGGGGGGGGGCAGCTTGAACGCACGTGCACGCCCGAGAGTCAATTTGTCAACACTTGCACCAAATAGCACTTCATATTTCAGCGACTTGCGCGCAGCTTTATTTGTGTGTGACACATCAGAACGTGTCCTCTCTGCCATTCCATTTGATGTGCCGACTATCAAAGGCGCGGCAAGCGGGGAAATGAACGCTGACGAGCGACCTGAGTGGCAGCATGAGGACGGGGGAGCAAAGGCCTGGCCCGCGTAATATTTTTGTTCCGCACTCTGATCAAGCAACTGCAAAGTGAATAATTAAGTTCAATAAAACATCTTGGGGTACCCCCCCCCCCCCCGCCCTCCCCCGGAGATGCACCCTCTCTCGGCAGAGAGATCAACACTTCCGGATCAATCTCGGGCTGGCCAAGAAATATGATTTGTGAGGGCTAATCAGTGCGGAATGCCGGCGGATCCAGCCTCCGATAAGCCTTTAATTTGTCTCGGCATTTCATATTCCATTGCCGTTAATCTCTTAAGTATTCCTTTTAGATTGTCTGCTTGAATTTGAGGATTTGCGCCCCGAAGGGGCATTCAAAACCCCCGGCCCCGCCAAAAAGAAAAATAAGAATCCGCTTTCCACCGGGCTGACATTTATGAGAATCGAATTTAATCGAAACTTAATCCTGACACCTTGTGGTGCACTTTTGTTTTCCCGCGCGGTGTCGACCCCCCCGGGCCAACCTGCCCCGGAATGCGCAGGCCCGAGCGGACCCCCGATCCATCACGCCACTTTCATCCCTCCAAGTCGGCCCTGCCCTGGCTTCACTTGCAGCTCATTAGCGGCCCGGCGAGCTGTTGTGACAACTCATCATATCATGACACAAAGCAGAAGCAAGGCGGCGGCACTAGCGTAGGACAGCCCCTCCCCTCTGGGGGGGGGCGCGCGCAAGGTCGGCACCTTCGCATTTAGGGCCCCCGCGAGGTGCCGGCAGGCGGAAATGCGGGCCAACAGCTTTTTCCTGTCCGGCCTTCACCTCGCCACCCCCGCCGCTTTTTTTTCCTACCTCCCGCACCCCCCACCGCCCCTGCTCCTTTTCTCTCACTGGAGGTCTGACTTGAAGCATCACATTGATTTGACCGCCTCTCGGGGGCACTTTTTAACAGTTAGTGACTGCTCTTTCCAAAAGTAGATTAGCGTTGAGACTCGCGGCAGCCCATCCATTTGCTCGTCGCTGCGAAGGAATTTTAAGCCAATCCGAATGCTGAATCCCGATCGGGCCGGTCGACTGCGGCGCCGTGCACATTTTGTCTTCCCGTTGCAATTGCCGTCGTCACATGGGAATTGCAAAGTACGGCCTGTTGGAAATGGCATGGTCGGAAAAGGGACTAAAAGCTCTGTTTTGAATATGTAAGCCCCGCAGCAGGAAGTAGGAGCAAAGCAGTGAAATAAATAGAAGCTCTGGTAATCTCAGTAGCATAACCGGAGGTGTCAAGTCCCACGCATACACTTGAGTAGGTTGCCGTACTCAACAAGCGGGCGCCCTGCGTGTCCCGGACAATTGAGGAAGTCTGCGCGTTCATTGACGCCGGTTGTTTTTCAGCGGCTTGAAAAGCTCGGACGTCTTTGTCTGATGCTATTTTTGTTTGCTCTAGTGACGAAGGATCCGAGTCAGCGGGGGTGTCGGGGCAGGAAGCGTTCTTTCTTCTTACCGTGGCCCTTGTAGAGAAGCCTCCCACGTCGCCCGCTTTTGTCTCTCGGCGCTTTGTTGTGTCGCTGTTGTGCGACAGAAGCGCCCGAGCCTCCCCGCCAGTCAAGTGCGAGGATTCGGAGCAGGTGCCGGGCTTCGTCGCTCGCCGGGGACCGCCGGCTTCTTGACTTGACGTCATCAGCGACCGAAGCGGATGCAACCGCGTGCCGCCACAGATGATCGTTCACTATTCGCGTCGTCGGAGACCGTTAGTCACGTGTTTAAGGTGATCTGGAATTTGCTTTTTCTTACAAGGCAAGAAGGGAGCTTGTTGTGCATCAGCCATTTTGGTACTCAACTCCCAGAACCCCAAAAGGTTTTGCCTACTGTAGCCAAATCCAGAAAGGGGGTTTATGATGTAAATCGACTTGGTCTCGAGCCCTTTCCCCCGCTTTAAGTTGCGGCGCGGGCATTTTGAACTGTCCTCTCAATGGCCGAGGCCCGCGGACAAAAGAGTTCCTTCAAATAGCCAGGAAAGCTTTTCAGAACACAGATGAAGAATCGACAACATTCTTTCACATCCTAACCCGAGGGAGGAGCAGGCATTTGCGAAGCGAGAGGTTAGGAGGTGAGAGGAGGAGGAGGAGGAATGGGGGTAAGAGTGTGGGGTGGGGGGGGGCAAAGGAAACAGAGGAAGAGTGACAGAACTCGTCAGCTGCATGCGGCAGCTGTCATCACCCTGCTTTTTTCCCTCCCTCTCATCCGTCTATTGTGGATGTGCAGATCAGATCACGAGCGCCTTGGTTTGTGTTTCTTTCTAACGAATCCCGTTCCACCTCACACCCCCACACCTCCAACTCGACACACAAGCACATATACGCCCCCCCACCCCAGCCCACCAAACCCCTCCCTGCTCTGCTCAGCCCCGCTCCTCCTCAGCCTTTTCAGCTCAGGGCTGTGAATGAGTCCCAGGAGTCTCGCTTGCCTCCCCGGAGTTCTGCGGGGGTTCATTAATCTTTCATTGGGACCATGGCAATAGGGAATGCCACCCTAAGCCCCCCCTCACCCCCTCCTCGCCATCCACCTCCCCGGCCACCTTCTGCAATTCTCCAACCAAAATAGAAAAAGGTCTTGGAAGAGAGATGGCTTTAGCTACCTCCTCGACACAACCAAGTCCAAAAATTTACCCGAGTCAGGTTTCCATAACACATTGGGGCAGATCAACTCCAAAATCCCATATTGAGTCGCATGCCCCCCTCCCCCTTGGTCCTATTAATGCTTTTCAAAGTCAACCCTACATCCGCCATATTTGGGTTTTTTTTTTTGGCATAGATTTAAGTCACTAATGAGGTTGTATGAGGCCCGACACGAGACCACGCACTCAAGCAGATCCACCCCTTTCCCTCTCTTTTGACCCCCCCCCCCCTTGAACATATCATCCATGTTATGATAAGCCTGATTAGTGCTGCTTCTTTAGCTGCTGAGGGTAGGATAAGGATGTGTGAGTGAACGGGCGAAAGCCACCAGGCTAATCTACAGCCCCGCTCTAATCTGGTTATCTGGTAGCCGGGGGTACAGTCCCGGGCCCAGAACGAAGGGGGGGTGCACGGCAGCTCCACTGTCATCTTTGGGTAATTGAAAAAAAATAAAAGGAGAGGGAGGGCTGCGCCACTTAGGAGCACAAAGAAAAGATTACATAGCTCCAAGTAATTTGGCAAAAATGCAGAAATGGATTTTCAGCTGCTAACCCTTTAAGTAGGATATAGTCCTACTACCCCTCGAGAATCAGGCCCGGGGGGGTGCGAGGAAGACGGAGGCAACGGTGGCGTGTTGACCGAAGCCACTAATGACTCTGGATTTACATGCGTTGTCTTGATTTTCGGCGGTTTGCACAAGATCGATGACTTGCGCTGCCGCTGCGGTTAAAAGTGCTTCATCACACATCAAGCTCCAAATGAGAAGTGGCAACAACCCCTCCCCTCCCCCCACAACCCCCCTGTCCCCCCAGGGCCTCATAGACGCTCTCTGAATTCCAGGGTGACACCGCAGAAGTGTTTTTAATTACAAACCGCAATGTTTTCACTGAGGCCCAGCGATTTGGCACCTCCAGGACGCACAGAATACGAGACGCTTTTATTTTATGTTTCTCCGAATATGAACCCTGACCTCTTGTTTTTTTTTACTTTTTTTTTCTCTCTGTCTCTCTTCTGCAGTCGAATAAGGTTCCAGTGGTTCAGCACCCTCACCACGTGCACCCTCTCACACCGCTGATCACTTACAGCAATGAGCACTTCACACCCGGGAACCCGCCACCACACCTACAGACAGACGTGGACCCCAAAACAGGCAAGTGTCGGAACTCTGGATCAAGTCAACACCAAGTACTAAAGCAAAGATGGTTTTTGCATCTGCAGAAACCTGAGGGTTTTTTTTTTTTTTTTACTCTACAGCCCAATCTGTGATTATGGATAATCATCCTTGACCCCGTGGGTCTCACAGTTTCTCACATTAGTCATTCTGAGGCCATCACTGGAACTTGATCTGCTGCCCTCCTTTATTTATTTATTTGTCTGTTTATTTTCTGGTCAACCTGCCTCTTCATGCCCAACCATGTCGTTCTATTATCGAGTATTTCATTGGTCTCCAGTCAGTCATTTAGATAATGATGATGTCTTATTACAACGGCCCTCACGGGTAGGGAAATAATGTAGCAGCTGCTGTTTAATGCAGTGCCTAATGGGGCCTTAATCGTGGCTCAGTGTTTAATTAACGAGGCGTATTAGGTCCGGTGAGCTGCTTGTGTGGCTTTTAAGCAAAATAGCGCTCCAAAAATGCACTATAGATTTCTTTAACGCTTCAGCCTGGAGATGCAGTCATTCCTGGTGCTATTCCAGCAATGCTGTGCTGGCACGATTGAAGAAACCTGAAGAAAAAAAAGTCTCGTACTTAGGTGAGAAGTTATTTTTAAACCAAACTTGCTGCACAGGACATTTGTATCTTTTCAGGAGAACAGAACATCTTTCAAACATACCAATGGAAACTATGCTGAATAACCTGAGGATGTTAGCTCGGGCTCGGTAGCTGGCGTTAGCCTTACTTGCTGCAAGTCAAGTCGTTTCACCATCTCCAAAGCTGACCTGTTAACGCTTTGCCAGTGTGCAACATATCTCAAAATTCCTCACACAATTACAATACATCCTGATTTATAGAGCGCACTTGCGATCGATAGCCAGCGTTAGCATAGTACTTTCACTTCACCCAAAGCTAATATTAGGCGCTTTCATCCACCTTATTGTTATTCGTCTTCTGCAGTCAGAAGCGACACTCGCGCCTGCCGCGCGATCCGCACGCTTTGATTGATGTGGCTAAATCAAAGGAGCCCGCTCCCCAAAGACAATTGTACATTTTTCACCGGCGCTGACACCAAACAGCAATTGTAGTAGTCACCAATTAGCCTAAACCGCTTTGCTAACCATGTTAAACAGCTGCACATTTCCGCTAGCTTTTGTTGTGCCTATAGAATGATGGGGCTGACAGGGAATCGGGAGGCAACCTTCCTCTGATCACATGCAACGGCGTAATGATATTGTTGAGTTTTGTTAACTTCTAAACCTGCGTCATTTTAGATCATTAATCTCCCGAATTCGCGTGACAAACGTGACAAGAATCGCGCCTGCGTCTTACTTATTTATTTTCATTCCACTCCTCCTCTTCCTCACCTCTCTCCCCTCTCTGCCTCCTCCAAACACATTGTGCCGCTGTCGCCTGACGAGGCCTTTGATCAGGAAGTTTTTTTTTTCTTTTTCCCTTTTTTGTGTTCATTTATTTATTTATTTATGATATATTTTCTCTTTTTTGCGACACGTACACGGTAGCAACAAGGCTTCTTTCCTCCTCCTCGTTTCCCTCACCCCTTGTGATGTGTGCGATGCTCCGGATTCTGACAAAAGATTTTGATTCTTCATCCTGTCCACCTCCTCAACGTGTCATCTTCCTTTTTCCACAGGAATTCCAAGGCCTCCGCATCCTCCAGATATTTCTCCTTATTACCCGCTGTCACCTGGCACTGTCGGCCAGATCCCCCATCCGCTAGGATGGTTAGTACCACAGTAAGCGAATCCAATTTTTTTTGTACTACTACTTCTCCTCTTTGTACTTTGTTCTTTCACGAGCTGTGCGAAAAGTTAGGACGAGTCCACTTTCCGAATTGTGAATAAACACACCTTGATATTGTGAAAAATCGGCTTTTTAATGGCAAAGCCAGGGAAATCGCCGAGTGATTGAACGCTCACGGGAAAAGATTTGGAACTGCCCTCAAATGCCACACGATGGCGACAAAGCACTTTTTTTTTTCTTTTAGACTGACAAAATGAAGCTACTCCCTTCAGTTCAACCTAGTTCCTTCACACAAAAGATGGCACCCAAAGCAATATTATTCCTGAGACATGGATTTGGCTTCTCGGTAAATAAAAGGGAGGAGGATAAGATCCCCCTTACACCCCCAAAGTGCGCTACAATTGTTGCTCCTTGTGGTATTTTGACAGAGCCTTGTCACAAAGTTTCTCCATCTTGCTGAGACCTCGTCCCCAAACTTGCTGTACCGCAGAATCCTGACACGAATTTCTCATTACCATTTTTTTTTTTTAATGGCACTCACTACTTTGCATGTCTCTGTAGGGTCAAATTAGAGTAAACGAATGGCGATTGCCCGCCTTTTACCCGCAATCCCGTACGGGGACTCTCCCTTGGTAACTCTTGTCAACACTTGTTAATTTGACAAAAGGCTACAAATTAAGCTCTGTTAATTTAATGTTTTCTCGCTGCCGTCTAAATAGCGAGAAAGGGCCCCCGAGCGCCGCCACGCCGCCCTTTGATTTGCTGCACTTTATTTTCGGTATAAATTTACATTCATTATTGTTTGTCTTTTGGAGGTGTAGACCTCAATTAGCGTGATGGCTCCATTAAAGGGAGCCGCACTTCGTCTTTAATTATCACAACAAAACACCTAGTTCCAGCTTGGGGAGGGGACCAGGGGGCCGGCGCACCGAGCGAAGGGTTATGAAATTTAATTAGCCGCCGCTATCAAGATTTGCGGCGTTAAATATTGTCGGGAGTTTATTCCCACCCCGCCTTTGATCCGCCGCTCGGCAATCCCCCAGATTTTTGTCCCCGATCAAATGAGAATAAAAGAGGCCGACTTGAGGGGGCTCGCTACCTTCTCGTCTGTCAACCTTGTTTCTTTACCTTTCTTCTTTTTCTTCCCAGGCAAGGTCAACCTGTTTATCCAATCACAACAGGGGGTTTTAGACACCCCTACCCAACTGCGCTCACTGTCAACGCATCCATGTCAAGGTGAGTCGAGCCCTTGGCGCGCAACGCGCGCGCGCGCACACACACACACGCGCGTGCGCATCCGTGTACACAAACACCTCTTAGCTAGCGTTGCAAGTTTTCCCTGAAGGACCCTCACGCCTTCCCATATTCAAAAGGCCAAATCTTCAGCAAGGGTGCTCAAATATTAATTATATTTATCTTCTCCACCCCACCCCAACCCTTAATGAGGCCCCCGAAGAACATTTAGTCCCCGCTGCACGTCAGGCTGATGCTAAATCAGCCCGGCTGCGTAATTGCCAGACGTAAACAAAACACAACAGCGCTTTGGGAGTTACAAAAGTTACGAGGCATAGTTTCATTCCAAAGTGCCGCTATGAACGTTCATGCATATTACGTGTACTTGTAAGCATTTTGTACATACGTGTGTGTGTGTGTGTGCATGTGTGTGTGTGTGTGTATGTCTTTTCCTCTTTTGTTATTTTTACAGTCATGTGATGCCCTTGAGAAACTCGCTTTGTGTGGAAAATGAATTAAACATGTTTGGCATTTCTTGCGGGACACTTTGGATACGCCAACATTTGATTTTGGTGAATCCACTTTGATCAAAATTGGACGCATGGAAATCAATTAGCTGCAAAAAAAAGGACCATTTTGAAAGGAAATAGATTAACAATATCAATAATTTTTCCCTCACGTTACTCTACGGATATGCCAATGTCCGACATACCGTCACGGTCAGAAGTCGCAGAAGTAGAAAATCTGGCCTAAAAAAATGTCCTCAATGTTCCACGTTCACTCCATAAAGATGGCGCTGACTTGTCATGTTGTTATTTCGAATGTACTTAAGTAAACAAATGATGTATTGTATTCATTTATCAATCGCGCCAATGAAAGGTAGTCCAAAAATGGATCGAATCGCTGAGGACAAGACATTTTTGGGTGTAGTTTCTCTGCAAACCCGCCAACTCGTGGCCTTGTCAGCCATTTTCCAGCTCTCCTCCTCTATAGCTGGACTCAGCCCGGGACTTCGGGGGCTGCGTTCAGCGCCAAGGGACCCTTTGGAGCTGGAGTTTAATTGCGGCCCGAATGGAAAAGCAGCTCCTGTGGGTGTTGTATTTAGACCACTGCGACATTGATGGATCGTGTCCATGCGGGGAGGGAGGCAGTGTGGAACGAGGGATTTCGGGAGAGGGTGGGGGGGTGAGTAAACTGATTTTTCAATCTGACACAGCTGTTCCCAAGTCGTTAAACTGTCCTCAGTAACTCGTCTACCTCGTTGAAGACGATCTTTATGGGAAAGGCCTCTCCAAATTGTCCCCGCTGGAGCAGAGGTCCAGACATCTGGCAGTGGCGTCCGCGTCCCAACTGGGCCTTTAAGTGACTGATAATTCACTCTCGGCGTTGTCATCATCCTATTTCCATCGTGGCTAATTGAATTTGCCGGCTGCGGGGTGTGTGTGGGGAGCTAATGCCCTGTGATGAAACCCCTAATTTAATTACCCAATAGAAAAAAGATGGGTAGGTGGGGGGAGGGGGGCACCAAGGCGACCACCAAGCCGTACAAATGTACAGTGCAATGTACAGTTCCCTTCGTGTCGATATCCAGATCATTAAAAGTTTAATTGAGGAAGCCGGTTTCTTAAATTTATTTATTTTTTAGCTATTTTTTTTTAATTATTTTCAAAAAAACAATCAAAATCACTTTGGCAATTTTACTATTGGCTGACAATATGCACCTGTGGCTAAAAAGCGGAGCGTGGAGAGTCTCTGCCATAGATTTATTGGACTATGCGGCCAACAGCCTCTCGTACCCCTTTCCTCGCTTTGTATTATTACAGTATGACGATGTCTTCCTTAAAAATCGAGCCTTGTTTTTTGTGTAAAATACCCGATAAGAACCCCAAAGGATGCAGCAAGTTGGTTGGTGTGCGAGGGTTTGGCCGCATGGCTCTCTGTGCGGCAGGTTGAAGACTTGAGCATAGAAAAGAATTGTCTCCCTCTCTCTCGACTTCGGAACCATCGTGCTCTTTACAGCTGACCCCAAATTAGCGGACAGGAAATGGATCTGGTACCTGCTAGCACCTTGCACCTCCTGTTAAAAATGCATCATGGGGTGAGATAAGATTTTGGATAATGATGGGCCTCTCGGTACCTGTATTGTGTGTGTATGCGCGCAGAGCTGCCTGTGACAGGTGGGCCGCCCTTTGATATGCCCCCACCCCCTGCCAAATCCCGTCGTTCCTGCTCCTTCTCAGCCGGATCATTACACATTAAACAGGCACGGGGGGGTTGCGCTTCACCTCGGCAATTAAGCGGCACTGCTTCACGATACCCCCTTTTTCCCCCCCCCCCCCCCGACATACCTTGCTGATTGAGACATACGGGCCCGGGGTCGGGGCGGAGCCCTCCGCTGCGTTCCTTTCTCTGTGTTGATTAAATTGGACCGAGGCGCCGCGTTTCTTGACGATGGCGATGACGATGCCCCCTGCTCTTCAAAGGGACGGCCGTCATGTTTTAACCATAACCTGGGCCCGCCGAAGGGGGGGTGTTCGGGCAGCGTGGAGGTGGCGAGGGGACAGGAAAGAGAAGAAAAGAGGGGGTGGGGGGAAATAGATTTGGAACTGAGGAAATTTTAACAAGTGCACAGAGAGGCGCGAAAGGGAGGGAGGAAGCGGCGGCGGCAGCCCCTAATGATGGGCGACGCTCAGCCGCCGCCCGCCCCGCCGAGCTCCCCATCAGCACATGACATGGCACAAACACCAACGTGTCAGGGATGAAGGCAGGGGAAGGCAAAATAGTTTGAAGGGTGTGTATGTGTGTGTGTGTGTGTGTGTGTGTGTGTGTGTGTGTGTGTGTGTGTGTGTGTGTG